GTGGCTTGGAGGAGCACAGGAGATGCAGATAACTTGATCTTGACCCTTAAGAAGCTTTAATTAATGCGGTCACATAACAAATCTGCTTCAAAGATAACATACTTTTTTTTTTTTGCTAATTTTGCTCATTACAACATTGAAAAAAAACGTAATGCTTGTATAAATACTAGAAATCGTCAATATAAATAATTGGGAATCATGTAAAAAATAATAATAACAAAAACAGTACACATTTCATGCATCTATTATAACATATGTAGTTTTGTTCACTTGGCTGTTTCCTTATAAAGGTCCAGAAATTTGTCAAGTTTTTCGTCAGGTGTCTTTAATTATATGATGTCATTACGTTGCTGTCTTGCCGCCAGCCAATCGCTGCATTGCTTATCATGGTTTCGAGTATCGATACGTCTACTCTTTACGGGGAGCACGAGAACACGCAGTAATCATAGGCTACGTCCACACAAAGCCAGAGCTTTCCCTATCTGACTTTTTCCCCTCGTCTCAATAAATAGCTGCGTCCACACGAAACCGACTCCAAACGATGTAGTATACATGCCAGACTAGCATGTGGCACTGTAATTCTGCCACAGAGATACACTAAAAATGGAGAAGACTTGGACTATGCACATAAACCTTGCGCGCGGTATACAAATAAACATGGAACAATACATTTATTAATCTGTGTTAATGTTAGTTAATAAAAAGACAATCGTTCAGCGTTTGTTCATGTTTTTGTTGCTGTTACGTGACATAGCGGTGTCTGACTAGGGGCGAGACGTGGGCTGATGACGTCATCGTTTCAGAAAATATACGGATTCGCTGTACACACGAAAACGCAAGGGTGGCACTCTGGGACCCGGATTCATAAAAACATCGGTTTCACTCTCCCAAAACGCCGGATCCGTCTGGACTTGTGTATTTGGCCTATACGATACAAAATGTATGCTTATACAGCTAAACACGTCTCCGTGTGGATGGGGCCTTAGACAACTTAATCCAGATATTTTAATCAGATCCGGATACAAAATGTATGCGTATACAGCTAAACACGTCTCCGTGTGGATGGGGCCTTAGACAACTTAATCCAGATATTTTAATCAGATCCATAAATTCGTTTGAAGAACCAAATTAGCCAGAGATCAGTTATCACGATTAGAAGATCTGGCATCTTTCAAATTATCTCAGATGTATTAAGCGAGGTACGAAGAACAGGCTCTGAGCAATGGACGGTGTTTACTTATTGAATGAATCTAACAGTCAAATGCTTTGTTCCTTAATGAATCAGTCGTTTGAATGAATTGGTTGAATCTCAATGACTCACTCATTAACTGTCACTTGCTGCCACCTACTGGCGGTTTTAATTTCACATTTCTATTTTTTTTTCATGTTCTAAAGGGGTCCTGAAAAGCGAGGTGTGCTCTGATTGGCCAGCAATCCAGTGCGTTATGATTGGCCAAATACCTCAAGCGTGACAGAAATGTTACCCCCCTTACCATACTGTGATGCAGTGTCCCGAAGCGACGAGACAAAAACATTAAAAACCCATTATAAATGAGGCATTTATTGCATCCAGTTGGGACACAATTACGGATTATAATGACGTATACTGTCTTTTTACGCATTGCGTTGCGTAAACAAAACTCGAAAGAAAACTTCTGCAAGTCAATGACCAAACGCCCATTACTAGCTTGTGCACGGAAGGATACAAACTCATCAGGAGTAAAAAAGGTGACCCCCTTCCCTCTTTTTTAATACCATAGGGAAAAAAGTGAAAACAAGAAAAAAAGAAAGGTGTGTCACATATCATCCGCTTTAACTCCTGATGGCAGACCCCAGACAGTAGAACACATTTTTATTTTCAAAACACATGTAACATTGCTCACGTTTTAGTTAGATAATTTGAATATATATATATGTATATATATATATATATATATATATATATATTGCCTCAAAATTATTAATATTTTTGCACATTTTTATATAGTAAAATTTATTTTAAAGAACATCTGCATTTTTTTTTTTTTTTCTTAAAGAGAATTCATGGAAAATTTGCAATGCTAAGTGGAAGATTTCTGCCAAGATTTCACCTGGTAGAAAAACAAATACTATTAAAATGAATGTCATGATTCCCACTATGGCCACTAAACGGCAGCAGAGGATCATTTGTTTCCTTTACCATTTCCACTCTGTAATATAGTTCTTTTCACATGTTTTGCTAATGGATTTATATTTAGACGTTATAAAATCACTATTACAACATTTAAAAATCTCTTTTTTGTCAAAGTTCAGCATTGTTTTGTATTGAAGTATGAAGTATCAAGAGTTTTCAACTCATTGAATCTACTTGAATTACACAGATGGCCTATTTTGAATTTACAGATCAGATTTTACAGATACAGATATTTACAATCTTCTCAGTTTCTCTCAAATGTAAATCAAATGCCCATTCACAAACATGTTTCTAAGAAAATGTTAAGAAAAGGGCTCAAACAATAGCTTTATTGCTCAGTAAGCTTTGTTCTGGGTCTTAACACCCCCAAAATCTTGTTCTCCATCATTGCATATAGGCCTACTCATGGATGAGACATGCAGATAACGATAGTCAACCTTCACTGAACATATAGGCCTACTCATGGATGAGACATGCAGATAACTATAGTCAACCTTCACTGAATTTTATATAAATCAATAAACTCTGAAAAAGTTATCAGTCAATGTTTAACATTCTATTAGTTGTCAATTTATTCATTGCAGCACTTTTGTCATACCTAAATCGAGCTCTTTACAAAGGAAAATAATGTAAGAATGTAAAATGAGTTATTTCATGCATTTAAATATGGTTTCATTTTCTTTTCATTTTTCGTACTTTACAAATTAAGGAAAAATTAGCATAAACATTTCATTACACCAAATACACAAAATAATGTTCTTTTTAGCAGCATCATATGACCCCTTTAACTAACGATGTATGCTTGCAGTTTCTAGTGCGGTTTATTTATGAAGTGAGCGTGCGCCTCATATTTGCGTACAGTTGAAGAGCGTGCGCTGTGAGCACAGTAAAACAGCTGACAGAACAGGAAACTTTGTTTTCCTGACATATAACAATAACTCATCAGACCGCAGTTCCCTGTTGTTTTACTGAAGCTCATTTGGCACCTGTAGCCTACCTTTTCCGCACTTGTTTGACTCGCGCCTGGTGCTGAGGGCAAGCTGAAGTGCGCGTCTATCTAAAAAGTCTCCCGTTTGTTGTGGTTGCAAAGAGATACGGCCACTCCGCGTCTTAAGTTTTTAATAAATACATTTTTGAACTCATTAAAATACTAAAAACGTTGCATTAATTATTTTTAATAACTAAGCTTTTGATTATAACGTTTTATTAAAGATTTTCACAATGATTTTGGCAAAATGGCGCCCCCCTATGTGTGGCGCCCCTATGCACTGCATATGCCATTTTTGTGCCACTGCGCGTAAACATAAAACCATGTCTGCATTTGTGATCGGAGAAATGGCCCGGTATTGTAGTCTACTCTGCCAGGATCAGGAAACAGTCCTCCATAAAAATGCGCTGCACACATCTGAATATTTGGGTTGAACTGTTCTGGAACAGTGTTGTAAATACAACTTAACCACTGATTTCTAGTTGTGTACTCTTTTGGAAGGCCAAAGTAGTTTCGCTTTTGCAACGAAACACACGGCGTCTTCACAACATGGCGGCGGCGGTGGCAGCAACAATAAAGTTACGCCTTTGCGTGAACATTTGGGCGGAGTTATGCAAATCTTCCCACATTGTGACGTAGACATGTGGGGGCATGTTTAAACTAGGCGTTTTAGGAGGGTGTGGACCAGTCTTCAATTTTATAAAGAATATCTCTTCAGGTTTGAGACTTTAGTCTTTGCAACTGTAGGGATCTTATCTATTCACGAACAGCTTGTAACACTCCAAAGAGTGAAAACTTGAAATCGCATCATATGACTAGGGTTGGGTATCGTTTTTTTTTGTTGTTTTTTTTCGATACCGAGATTCTGAGCTCATTGACAAATATCTGATCTTGGAAGATGTGCTCCCTTTACACAGAGTATGTGAGATCGCGAAATCGAAAGTGAGACTAAACTGCGCAAACGCTCGTTCAAAAATATTTAAATACACCGCATCCTGAGAGCGGCTCCCTGATGCGCCAAAATTATACACAATATTAGAATGTTTAAAGGAGTGGACACGAAAATCGCGGGAGCGAAACGCATGTTGCGGGAGCAGGTCAGAGATTCAGCGGGAGTGGGCTCATTTCCCGAGTTGTGCTTTTAAGTCGGAATGTGAAAACAACACGTGTTGGATTTGTATTATTAGAGCTTTCCGAGTTGAGTTCACGTGCATTTTCTCAGTCGGGAAATTATTTTTAACGAAAATAGTTCCTAACAAAGATCACAGCACTGTTTTGCGTCTCTGAGCAATGAATGGTGTTTACTTATTGAATGAATCAGCTTTTTGAACGAATCGGTTGAATAAATGATTCAGTAATTCACTCATTAATAACTGTGTAAATACATCTAAATATCACTTCGTTTAAGATTAAAAAAATACTTTTCGTATTTAAGTACAATAAATATCACATACGTTTACTCAAGTAATATTCTTAACGGTGACTTAAACTTCAATCAAAGTAATTTTCTGGTAAGACATCTGTACTTTTACTTGAGTATATGGCTTTCAGGTACTTTATAGGCTACACCACTGAATTTAATTTACGCCGTTTGCTTAGCCGAGACAAGAAAACACGTTCGCTTAGCTGAGAGAGGATGGGATAAAAACGCATGGGGGAAAAAATGGTGGGATATAAAGAGATTTCTGATTTCTAGGTTTAATGTTTAATGTAACCCTTATGATGAAGCAAATACAACTTCCACAACATGTTTCAGCGTGAAAAACGTGTGACTGTGTATTTCTGTATGCAGGACCGCTAAACTGAGTTACAAAACCCCAAACAAATCTTTGCACTGACCTGCGCGACTCAGTAAGATCCAGAGCAGAAGAAAACGCCAAAGCATATTCATATGTGAACAAGTGAAAAGGATTCCTGATGATGGTGATTTTGCTCCTGGAAAGCGCTCTGGCTTAATGGTGCTGAACCGACGCCACGGAGGGACTTTATAAAGACGACATACCCTGCGTCACAACTCATCACTGTAGGACACAGGGGTTCTTATCACAACCTAGCTAAAAAAAAAACAGAGTAATAACAATAAAAACATTTGTTTTTAAGAGAACTAAACCAAATAACTTGGTCATGTACCGGTCATTACTGTGTAATAAAATAATACACAAACATGAAATACTGATATCTGATTCGATCGATTTTTTTTTAGTCCATTGCTCAGAAAAACAGTTCATCCAACCTAGAAAACGTCGAATAAGACTACCAAAACAGTGAACACCGAATCCTTACTTCAAATACAATAACAATGAAGCTACTTCCTTTTAACGGTTCGTTCCTAGCTATTTTCCTACTTCGTGATCTAACTGCATGATCGTCTGTGAAACAATTTACGTTGAACTACAAAGTGGCACTGCCCAACACAGAACGTTGCCTCGACGTAGCCAACCTTTTAGCCACGTTGTAACGTGGCTAAAAGGTTGTTGGTTCTATGTTGTATCGTTAAGGCTGTTGCTGCGTTGTCACAATGTTGCCATTCAACCAAGGTGAATTCCTCCAAAGCCATTTTAACAGTCGATTCTTCGCAAGATGGCACGTTGGCAGAGCGCCAGTTTTCATGGTCGGCGGCAACACGATGCATTAACAGCTGGGGTGTGTAAACTTTTTGAATTGGATGAACAGGGTAAATTGTACTTGTCTTCTGGGAGCATGCAGGTACTAGCTTCTAGCTGCAGACACCCATTGTGCAATAGCTTTTTAAGGTCAGTATTAAATAAATAACATGCAATCCTTTCATCCATCAACTGATGATAGACTAAGACTATATGTCCTTCAAACTTCTAGCTTTTATAAGTACCTCTAATTGAAAATCTTCAAACTTTTAATTTCAATCCTACTATGCTCAAAGTTTGTCAAGACAAGCTTTAGTTGATTTTGACATTGATTGCAGCAATAAGTTGCCAATATTTCTAAATAATGAGCAGGGCAATGTAGACGAAGTTCACCACAACATTAGGCAGCTGAACCGACGCCACGGAGGGACTTTATAAAGACGACATACCCTGCGTCACAACTCATCACTGTAGGACACAGGGGTTCTTATCACAACCTAGCTAAAAAAAAAACAGAGTAATAACAATAAAAACATTTGTTTTTAAGAGAACTAAACCAAATAACTTGGTCATGTACCGGTCATTACTGTGTAATAAAATAATACACAAACATGAAATACTGATATCTGATTCGATCGATTTTTTTTTAGCCCATTGCTCAGAAAAACAGTTCATCCAACCTAGAAAACGTCGAATAAGACTACCAAAACAGTGAACACCGAATCCTTACTTCAAATACAATAACAATGAAGCTACTTCCTTTTAACGGTTCGTTCCTAGCTATTTTCCTACTTCGTGATCTAACTGCATGATCGTCTGTGAAACAATTTACGTTGAACTACAAAGTGGCACTGCCCAACACAGAACGCGGCCTCGACGTAGCCAACCTTTTAGCCACGTTGTTGGTTCTATGTTGTATCGTTAAGGCTGTTGCTGCGTTGTCACAATGTTGCCATTCAACCAAGGTGAATTCCTCCAAAGCCATTTTAACAGTCGATTCTTCGCAAGATGGCACGTTGGCAGAGCGCCAGTTTTCATGGTCGGCGGCAACACGATGCATTAACAGCTGGGGTGTGTAAACTTTTTGAATTGGATGAACAGGGTAAATTGTACTTGTCTTCTGGGAGCATGCAGGTACTAGCTTCTAGCTGCAGACACCCATTGTGCAATAGCTTTTTAAGGTCAGTATTAAATAAATAACATGCAATCCTTTCATCCATCAACTGATGATAGACTAAGACTATATGTCCTTCAAACTTCTAGCTTTTATAAGTACCTCTAATTGAAAATCTTCAAACTTTTAATTTCAATCCTACTATGCTCAAAGTTTGTCAAGACAAGCTTTAGTTGATTTTGACATTGATTGCAGCAATAAGTTGCCAATATTTCTAAATAATGAGCAGGGCAATGTAGACGAAGTTCACCACAACATTAGGCAAAGCATTTTCTAATTACTCATATCCCTCAAATTATCACTAAAAACATTTGTTCTAACAAACTAGTAAGCTAAGTTTTTTTTTTTTAAATAAGCCCCTAATAAGTTGCCAATATTTCTAAATAATGAGCAGGGCAATGTAGACGAAGTTCACCACAACATTAGGCAAAGCATTTTCTAATTACTCATATCCCTCAAATTATCACTAAAAACATTTGTTCTAACAAACTAGTAAGCTAAGTTTTTTTTTTTTAAATAAGCCCCTAAATTTAGGCTAAAAAAAAAAAAAAAACTCAGACTACAACTACAACAGCCAAATAAGCTTTTCACTTAAATATTATGCATTCTTGTGCACACTTCTGCAATACTAACTCATTTTAAATCAATTAGTAATACAAACTTTAATAAAACCGTATAAAATCATTTATTGGGATCCAAAAAAAAATGCATGTATAAAAGTAACAATAATAA